AGTGACTCGCAAAAATGTATCTTGCCCACATAAAATTTAGGTCTTGCCCCGCCACTGTACAGGAAAAAGAGGAGTGCTAATGTCTTTGAGGAGTGCAGTAAAAGTGGGGATATAAGGTCACATTCCATAGGCGTATTTTGTAAAATAAATTTCTATAATATAAAATAAGGTCACGGCACTTCGTAGATTAAATTTTGAATGAAAAAGTTATATGATGTACAAAAAATAAAAATAAACATTTTGCTTCTGAGAAAATTATTGCACTTTAACATTGAACGAATTAAATTAAACACTAATAAATAACAAGGAGGATTATATGTTGTTAATGGGATTAAATTTTTTTAATCTCTTGGAATTAAAAGTAACCTAGAAACAAAGATTAAAAAAATAAAAAGTTCAAGAACTATCTTTAAAAGTAACTGTCTTCACAATAACTACTAGTATCATTATCATTGTCTGAGGTTTATTTTTATAGGGTTTGTTAAGTTTTTCCTTGCTATTTCCATTTTACAAAATGAATTTTTCACCTTTTTAATATGATCAATGCATTTTCTCCAATGTCCTCCATTTACATCTGAAACCGCCTCCAAAAACAAATTTCTCACATCAGGTAATTTAAATGTTGCACTCATTTCTTCTCTATACTATAATACTATAATTATACCCAAAATTAGTATTATTTACAAGCTTCCTTCAAAAAAATTTTTTTTTTTAGTCGAGCTGTACGCATACCAAGCATTTTTACTCGTCAATTTCTCGACTTCTCAAAAGACTCGATATCTCAAATGCTCGGAATATTTTACTGGTTTGGAAAGGGGAGAGAGATTAATAAGTATTAAAAATTAATAAATGTATATTTAGAATAAGTACAAAAGTGACTAGTATTCTAAAGAATAAATTACTCAAATTATAATTAGGGAATAAAGCACTATTTGATAATATATCCAAACTTTGAATAAATATTTATGACACTAGTTGAACACTTAATTGAACAGTTTGAACTTATTAATAATTATAAATAGCGCTGGAAAACAGAGTTAAAAGAGCATACATTGCTTATGAACAATGCCGCCGTACTGTGGGACGCACCTAGGGTTTATCCCCCAGAGTTGTCGCATGGACTTACACGGCTATCATAATTAAGACCTATGCTAACATACGGTGCAGTTGTTTGGGTACCGAAAACCCAAAAATTAACAGCTATCCGTAAACTAGAACAAATTCAAAGAACAGCATGTCTCAACATAACAGGAGCCATGAAAACAACACCGACTAGAGCGATGGAAGTCATTCTTAGTCTCACTCCCCTTGATATTTACATCAAGGAGGTTGCTTTGACGACAATGACACGCCTCCGCACGGTCGGAATAGAACCTGATGTAGGATCTGGTGAGGCGAGACGTCACTTGTGGCAGGAGGCGCTTGATACGCTCCCACTGCTTCAAGCGAACATAGACTCCATCTCACCGAGATATATCTTCCATAAGCCATATAAAGTTATAATAGAACAAATAGAAGAGCCAGAAGTGGCAGGTACGATTCATATCTACACCGACGGTTCTAAAACAAGGCTCAGGATGCAGAATATACTCCAGATTCCTAGACCTAAACATAAAATGGGCTGTGAGCAATAGTGCCAGTGTAGTTCAAACAGAGCTAACGGGGATTCTCATAGCAGCAAAAGAAATAACCAGAAATAATATCACTGGAAGGAACATGCTCATCTATACAGATAGCAGACAAGCACTACTCACCCTGAACAGACCACGAATTTACTCAGGGCTAGTACTAGAATGTCATGAAGCTTTGGCCGAAGTATCCACCAACAATGTGGTCCCCTTAAGATGGATCAAAGGTCACGCTACATCGAAAGGTAACCATCTTGCCGATTCACTAGCCAATAAAGCAGCCAACCAAATACTTTTTGGACGTGGCCCTTCTATTGGCCTGACAAAATAGGTAGTGACAGACCTAATTAAAGAACATTCCCTTGTGAAATTCAAGGAAAGATGGGATGAAACAAGAAACTGCAGAGTTGCCAGGGAGCTCCTAAGATTTGTGTTCGGCGAGTATCGGCTAACACCGGCCGATATAAGAGAAGCACCTCTTGGCGACGTTATCAACTACATTAAATCTGTAGGCTGGCTCACGAGCTAGGAAGTGCCTATCATCTTAGGAGGATGCATAATGGGCCTAATGAGGCCTAAGTGCCGTGGGGGTAACCCACCTTCCACACGTTACAGACACAGAGAGAGCGCTGGAAAAATTTAACTACGGCGAAAGTTCCCACTCGAGAGAGCGTCCTTTCTTTCTGTCTTGTCTCTCTATATAAACCCAAAGTTTACGTGATAGTTTTATTTTTAAAAATTTCACGCTCTACCTTGAATTCTCTAGTTCAATGTAAATCATTAACTAGAGCAATAACATGATTATTTGTTTTATTTCCATACGTGCGTTTTCTTTTGAATTTTTAATTTAAAACATTATAAATACTTTTTTTAGAATTTTTAGTAAATTCTTTATAACGGGTGTGCCATTTATATGTTGAATTATAAATTAGCAATGAGGACTAGAAAAATTAATTTTTTTTCCAACAAATTTATCTTTATTTTTTACAATGTTTCTTCCGACTAAGTATGGAAAATTATTTTATTTAAGTGGCACCTCGACTAGCTTGGCAGTAGAAGCTTTTAACAGCACAAATTTGTCATGCTTGTTTTTCACTCATAACTGTTATTAACTTCAAACACAAAGAAATTTAAAACCCTTGACACCGAACAAACAAATCCGCAAATTTAGTCGTTGGTGGGGCCAGGGCCGACGAGAGAGGGGGAGTACCTGGGACAAATTCCCAAGACCCGGACACAAGTGGGGGCCCGGCAGCTTTAGGTGAGGACGTTTTATTTTTTCTAAAAGTTCGCCACAAAAGGGAGGAGCGCTGGTGTATGTAAAATACAAAATGAGGACCTTTTTTTAGAAATGTGATATTGAAAGGGTTTACTTTTTTATAAAATTATCGCGGGACTCCACCTGGAAAATTGTCCCGGGGCCCCACCTGGCTATCGGCCTCCCCGGATGGGGTACTCGCGTATCGGGGACAACACTAATGATTTGTAGTGCGCATGTCGTACGCCTTTTATTTGTACATTGGTCTCCTTTTGACAGAGTTGGTGAGCTGTGTCCAGGCCGTTGGTGTTTATGCCGGTCGGCGTAGCCAGGTATGGATTGAAATTGTCTGGGAGAAGTCGTTGCTTCGTCTTCTTGTTATCACGGCATTATTATTATTTGTTCATGTATGTGAAATTTGCTTCTAAGGTTTATAAAATACTAGTGCTAGTTACGGCGTAAATGAAAACAAACAAGAGGCACTCACACAAACACCTCCCATCACAACAGCAATTAGAAATGATTAGTGTTGTCCCCGATACGCGAGTGGGTGGGACTTGATAGTGACCGACTAATATCAACAAGTGCACCATTGCTCTACCATGTTCTACCCGGAAAGGCGGAGCTAAATAAATGAGCTTAGAGATCGGTACAAACCGTTTCTGCCATCTGAGTCCCCAAGCTGGTTGTTATGGTAAACTGTGGTTATACTTCTATTGTCAATTTTGTTTTGTATGTATTCCACCAATTTGCAACTTACAATTCGCTAATAAACTTTGTGGTTAATAGTATTGATCTTTACTTTAAATAAAAAAATACTGTCAAACGGGGTGACTAAGGACGGAACTGACAGTGTATTATAAGTAATTCACGTTAGTATCAATCTGTATCAAAATTACAGGTACCTTATATATTTTAGCAATACGTTCACACGATAGAAGAAAAAAATTCGAATTATAAATATTTTTTTTAAATTCAAAAAGTGTCCCGATTCACTCCGTCTGTGGGGTTACTCAGGACACAGGCACGTAGATAAGGGGGGGGTAAAGGGGGTAATTACCCCCCCCCCAAAGCTCAATATAAAAAATAATAATTTTCCACGTAGTACTCATAAAATAGGCTGTGTCGACAAAAACTGAATTAATTTTTGACTGCAATGCCATATAATAGAGGCTTAATCTAATGAGACAAGGGAAGTATTGTAAAAAACATACCCCACTCACCGTCACCGCTACACTTTATTTCAGCGAAAGAGCCAGAGCGCGCTGGGTTGTCTCTGGCCAGAGCCAGAATTCTAGTTTTCGTTTTCGAGTTAGTCAGTTCCAGTTCAGTTTATAGACATGGGTAACGCACTAAAATTCTTTGCGTTGATACACTAACTCCGGCGCACTCTATTGCGCCAACTCATTGCGTTAACGCAATTGCGTTATTGCGTCACACCACTGCCTGCGCCGAATGAAGTCGATGCACCTCGGTGTATCGCATGATACCGGTGTTATTCAGCGCGGGCTGTCCTTTTATAAGGGTCAAACCGTGTTCAAGGCAAAAACGCAATTGGAAATTTAACTAATTTTTTTTTATTATATGATTAAAAATAAACGAAAATATAACAGTGTAATGCACTCATTTTTTATTTCATTGTGTTCGGATTTTACAAAAAATACAAAAATTCTAATTTATATAAAAAGGATATAACTTTTGTATACTAGTAGCCAATCAAATTGGGAAGTACTAAAAATTAACAGTGTACAAGATTTAAATTCATAAAATTCGACCTACAATCCTACAAATGATGTGACATGTTGCAAAGAACATAATTACTTGATAGATTTTGGGTAATCTACATTACGAGTTGCATCAATTACGTAAATTAAAATTCTCAACTCGTCACGGAAAACAGAATCAGTGCCTGGCGCATGGCGCACCAACATCTCGCGATCCTTTCGACTCAGTATCGAAAATTGCGTTGCGCTGATACAGTAACAGCTGGTGTATCAACGCTCGTAACGCATACAACTGCGTTAACGCAATAACGCAACGCAGCGCTGCGTTACCCATGTCTACAGTTTAGTGAGTGAGCAAGATAACAGTACAGTATGAATGTACAAGCGTAGATGAGATTAGGTCGGCGTAAAGTATTTGAATAAATCTATTGTTTTAATTGTGTTAATATAAATAACAGGTAAACATTCTTCATAAAATAAATATTTATTATTTATAAATGTGGGTATTTTTTAGAATAAAAATGAGCAAGAGACAAGCCTCCTTAGATTTTTTTGTCAAAAAAAAATAAAGAAAAATAATGATACTCAGGATTCGACACAATCATTAGCAGTTAATGAATCATCATCCACTACCCATGAACCGTCCACTAGCAAAATAGAGGAAACGAAATATCCTGAACTTACTGGTAGCGCTCAATATTCAGGCGAAATAGACATTGCAGGTTATGTGAAACAAAACATCATTAGTGGTTTGGAGCGGTATAATATTTTGAAAAATGCTTTTGTTCCTGATAAACATTTCATTTTTCCGTACTCTGTACATCGAAAAAAAGACAAAGATGTAAAATGCTATCTGTCATCGAACCACTTTACTGCCTTTAATTGGCTCACGTATTCTAGGAGTTCAGGTGGCTTATTTTGTAGGCTCTGCGTATTATTTGCAAAATATGGTGGGGTCAACAAATCAAATACCCTTAATAAATTAGTGGTTACACCGTTACATAAATATTCCAAATTATTTGGAAAACATGGTGATCTAATGACACATGATTCTTCAAAATACCATAAAGAAGCAGTGACGGCTGGAAATTCATTTATTCATGTTTATGAAAATCCTAAACATGAAATAAGTAATATTCTTGATGCTAAGCGGTTCCAAGAAGTAAATGAAAATAGAGAAAGGCTCAAAGCAATTATAAGATCAATAATATTTTGCGGGAAACAAAACATAGCCCTGAGAGGGTGGAAGACTGAGAGTGAATTGACCGTATCGTCAGAGGTCAACGAAGGTAATCTCAGAGAATTTATAAGACACAGAATAGAGACTCGTGGTGACGATTCACACTTTGAATAAGCTACAGTACGCACTAAATATATCATTCCATCTATTCAAAATGAAGAAAATTTTAAGTCGCCTTATCGAAAAAATAAAGGCTGGTCGATTCTATAGTATCATATTTGACGAAACAACAGACATTAGCAATGTTTCACAAATGTCTATAATAATTTGATATTTGGATAATGGTAATGTCCGTGAGGACTTCGTAAGGTTTCTGTAGACTGCCATAAGGAAAACTATGACGATTTTACGCATGAACCAGTTCTTACAGGGGAAATTCTAGGGCAAACTGTTATTTCTTTTATAGGGAAGCTTGGTTTAAATTTTGAAAACTGTGTAGGTATTGGAACTGATACATGTAGTGTCATGCTTTCTGACTAAAAGGGAGCAGTTTCGGAAATGCAAAAAACATTAAGTAATGCCATTAAATGTCCCTGCTACAGCCATTCTTTAAATTTGTCAATATCAAAATGCAGCGATGTTCAGGATATTCGTAACGCAGTAGCAACCATCAAAGAAACAATAAACTTTTTCAAAGCTTCGCCAAAAAGAAGTAAGGTTCTAAAATTTGATAATGATGCAAAACTAATAAGTTTATGTGAAACGTCACCAGTCGATTTTGTTATTTAAAAATCATTATATTGTTTATCACATGTTTTAAGTCTCACCACAAATTTAAGCAAAATTTTACAAAAAAAAATTCATAGACAAGAGTTTGGCAGAATCACTAGTTAACGATATAATTTCGGTTTTAACTAAAAAACGTGAAAATGTTGATACTTGTTTTGATACAATTTTTGCGGAAGTTGTCGAAATACATGAAAAATTGTTTGTTCCTATAATGATTCCTAGAATACCCTTAAGGCAGAACCATTGCAGTAATATTCAGACTAAAAATCCCAAAGATTTTTTTAGAATTAGTATTTTTATACCGCTCTTGGATAATATAATTCAAGACTTAAAATTTCGATTTCACTCAAAAATTTTCTCTGCTTTAGAAATAAATAATTTCATTCCATCGATATTATTAAATCTTGACGAGGCCAGAATAAAATCAGTTTTACTTAATTTATCAAAATTTTTGGAAAAGATTTCAACAGAAAGCAGTGATTTTATATTGACCACTCTAGATTCGGAGGTAGATTTGTGGGTTGCCAAGTGGAAAAATAGTTGCCAGGAAAGCTTACCTGACACCGCATTAAATTCATTATTGGCGTGCAATAAAGATATATATCGTCAAACTTACCTTGCATTACATATAGTAAGTGTAATGCCAGAGAGCGTTGCTTCGTCAGAAAGAAGTTTTTCAACTTTGCGTAGGTTAAAGACTTGGGACAAGAAAGTCTTGTAGGCTTAGCGCTAATACACATCCACAGGGATATTAAATTGAATGTCGACAGTGTGCTCAATAGGTTTAGCTATAAAAAAAATAGAAATTTAAATCTAGCTGTCTAGTATGCATGTTAACACTTTATTTTATTTTTTGTTTATCGTTTTGTAATATAAAAAGTTATTTTACTTTCATAACAGATTGTATGTTTTTAGGTAGTTTTGATTTTGTGATAATTTTGTTATTATTTTTTTATTATCGCAATGCTCTAAGAATCTTTTTATTTTTTTTATGATTTTTATATAACCAAATACAGTGATACAGATTCATGACAGCATTTTAATTTTTACTTTAAGTAATATCATGATTCTTGTGGATCGTTACCCCCCCCCCAGGAAAAACAGATATCTACGTGCCTGTCAGGACATGCGTTTATTCTGCAGTGAAAACATTGTCTCACCTGCTCTGGTTAAGATGGGACAAAAATAACATTTTAAAAAATGCATTTATCCACTTATTATCATTGAAAATCTTAGAAAATTATGAAAAAACATCTCAAGAATAATTTTCATTGAGATGAAATACAGCAAAAATATTTTTTTTTTACTACCGTGCGTAAAGTACGTACTTTACGCACTCCACGAAGTGTGTAAAGTTGTACTTTTTTCACTAGTGCGTAAAGTAAAACTCTTTACGCACTAGTTAAAAAAGTAAAATTTGACAAAATTTGTACATAACAACAAAATATAACGTTTTATTTTATATTAACATTTTTTGCTATCTCCTTCTAAGACAAATAAATAAATTATTTTTGCTTATATCTATTTAGTGTCCAACAAATTATATTAACAGTTTATTTTAATTATAATTTTCTCTAAATGTCATCGATTTAATTAAAAGTAAACATACAGTGGATGTCGATTTTGGTAAAAGTAAGTTGGCCGTGGCTGTGTGGATTAGAAGAACTGTCAATCTCTAAACTTTTAATTAGTACCTACCTTATAACAGAACACGACAAAAGTATACTTAAGTTCAAGATTAGATTCTAAAGCCAATTTAGCATTTTTTTAAACTCAATCAAGTTTGATAAGGTAAAAAGTTTTACTTTTTAATGTTTGTTTACTGAAATTCAAATTTTATTTGCAGTTTATTATATCTGTCATAATCGATATGGATTCAAATTTATCTAGCGATAGCGAATTTGATAATAATCCCCCAGATATCTTATGCAGTGCACAAAAGGCCACTGAAAATTCATTGCCGAAAAATCTGCATATATTTATCAGCAAAAATACAATGCATTTATAGAATTGTGTAGGAAGAATAAGGTGACAAAATATTCGGAAAACGTTATTTTAGCATATTTCTCTGATGAATTGAAGAATTGCAAAGCTTCTACCCTATGGTCGATTTATTCTATGCTTAAAAGCACCTTAAAATATAAAAACAACGTTGATATTTCGAAATTCAACAAGTTAATAGCGTTTCTCAAACAAAAAAATAAAGGTTATAAACCAAAAAAATCCAAAATTTTTGAACGAGAAGATCTAATTAATTTTCTGTTGAAAGCTCCAGATTTTAAGTTTTTAATGATCAAAGTAAGTAAATGCCTCAGTAAATGCTTGAATGCTCAGTATAAAATTAAAATATTCTGTAAAGTTTTGCAACGAGATGTGTGTTCGTATGGTGTGTTGCCTAACAAAATCAGTTGCTGTCCTAACAGGCCACCGGGGTTGTTAGGCAGCACATTATACCTAAAACTTTAATATTTTTTACAATAGCATTTATTTGGAGTTTTACATGCGCAACGTCAAGATATTTCCTAATGTTTAATAAATTATTTGTAACATTACAATATGTTATTTTTTAGGTAGCTTTTATAATTGAAATTGCGGGAGCTTGTCGCCGGGAAGAATTATGTAAAATGACAATTAACGATGTGGAAGATAAACAAACAGTGTATATTGTCAAAGTATCAGAAACCAAAAATGGAATAGAACGCATTTTTACGATTTTAAATCCAAATAATTCTGCAGTTGATTATTTATCTTTCATAAAAAAATATACCTCATTAAGACCATCAAATATAAATTGTAACAGATTTTTTTTAAAATTCGCAAATGGAAAATATTCTAAACAGCCTGTAGGGATAAATACTTTTGGTCAAATGACAAGTGTTATAGCAACGTATCTAAACTTGCCCAATCCAACGGCTTTTACAGGATAATGCTTTAGGAGGTCTTCAGCCACTATGCTGGCAAATTCTGGAGGAGACCTTCTAACGGTCAAAAAACATGGAGGATGGAAATCATCTGCTGTTGCAGAAGGCTACGTAAGACAGCACAATAACACAAAAAAACAAAATTTCTAATAAAATTTTGATGGATGACAGTATGCCATCCACTTCCAAACAAAGTTACAATTTTACCGTTGACAACTCTAATGAATAATTAGTGGAACCACTCGACAGTGAAACTAGAGTTACACAAAATATTTCAACCTCTTTACTTGAAAAGGCCAAATCCATACCACTCGAAGCTCAAAATAGGGTTACAGAAGTAATATCACAACATTTTTCAAACTCTGTGCTGGAAAAGGCCAAAACCTTAAGTTTTGGTAATTGCAATAATTGCACATTCAATATTAATATTCATAAGTGTTAAAAACCTATTTTTTTAAATATTTCTTCATTTGTTAGTCATTTTGTTCTGTAAGAATTATAAATTTGTAAAGTTCCAATAAATTTATTTTTGTTGCTGTGTACAATTTTTTTCATTTACTTTTTTTCACTAGTGCGTAAAGTAAAGTACTTTTTTTCACTAGTGAAAAAAAGTAAGTTTTATATTTCTAATATTAGTGGATTATGTGTACGGTAGTAGAAAAAAATTTTGTATGCCACTCGTGTGTAAAGTCCCTTTTTAAAGAGGGTAACTTTACACACTTGTTGCATAAATAACTATTTCGATATAAACTTATCGTCTACCCAGTTTTTAAAATTTTTATCAATTTTTTATATTCACATAACATGGAAATTTGACACCCCCTCTCCGAAGTTGCACTGGTTGTGGAAGTTTCTTAAGAATTTGAGAGATATCCACAACAGATTCATCAGAAAAAAATGAAGGTAATATCCACTTTAGAGCGTTCTCTTAAAAAAGTAATACACAGTTGTCCATCATTGTTTCCTAAGATTTCTGTTTCATCTGTTTCCAAATCTTTCACGCCTGGTTTTTCTCCGTATCTTTCTACATTTGGTGTCGTTTATATTTTCTTCGGAAATTTCGCTGCCATCAGATTCCGAATCATTTTCGGGCTCAGAATCAGATATTATTATGAAAAATCTAATTTCGAATTTAACTCTTTTTCAATTTCATTTGAAACAATTGGTATATTACAATTTATTATTAAGGAAATCTTCAAATAATGTTATAGCAAATCCTACTTAAACTACTGGTTGTTCTGCAGGATAAATTAACTTTTCTTGAGATTGATCTCTCTAAAATCCAAAACCGACCTGATGTCCCCAAATTTATTTTCCAATGCATCCTGATTTAGAATTCTGACATTTTGTGATTCAATTTTTTTTTGTTTTTCGTTTAAATGACTCTACAATCTTCTGAGTGGCTATTAGAGGTAGGTGTATGTAAGAAATAGCCAATATCAAACATTTAATTTGTCTGAAGAT